TTTGATGGGCTTTCGAATGGTGTATGAATTATTTGTGTTGTTATTACAAGTGTTGCTGTGACCCCCTAGGAAAAGGTTATGCCCCGCCCTGTACTGTATTACCAAACCTTTTTTTTAATGTCTATTTGCACACCATACCACAAATTACTCAATCACATTTTAGCCTATGATTAGTTTATGGTTCAGTGTATTATTCAATGTATTAACCACATAATTATGAATCAATCATTATTTAAATCATTGAGTAAATCAGAATTATGTTAACCAAACCAACCACTGGCTTGAATTTAAATTACTCATGGCTACTTTATTATTATTTTCTGTTAGTTATCTTAGGTCTTATGTTTTGATATGTTGAATGTGTGACTTTTTGAATATTCTTAAATGTTACTTGTTTATTTATATTAATAAGCTGTTTGTTCTCACAATATCTAAGACTGAGATTATTTTTGGTACCTAAGAGAAATTGTAACATGTATCTCTCTTTTCCCTGGCAGTGCATACAATGCAATAATTACAGTATGGCATATTAAAAACTCATAATTTTCTACCATTTCATTTTTTTGAAGGAAAGAGTAAAAAGATTGAAGAAACAATGGGAAATCAATTTTAAATAGGGGATTCCCTTAAAATTCCATGAAATAAGTACTGCAGGACAATTTTGCATGGAATCAACCTTTCTTTTTAGCTCTGTTCTTGAAGGGTTGTATGTATCTAGACTCAGTCTACGGTAGCAAGTTTCCATAGACTAAGTATGCCTAAATAATTTTGGGAAATTTTAATGTTGATTAACATGCATAACTTTACAATCATGGCCTTTCCTTTGAGAAGCGCAATATGTAATTACTATTAACAGCTAAAAACAATATATTGATCTAAACTAGTAAGGGTTTTGTCAGAACCTGACAAAAGTTTCTTCAATGTGCAGTTTTACTTTCAAATTCTTATTGGCAACATAACAATAATCTAAGAGAAACAAGTGATTACAATTTGGTTTTAAAATGGAATCAAATTTTGCTCAATTGAAAAGTCATTTAACAAAAAGTATAATTCTATTCTGATTGAAAAGAATTCTGAAGCACTCAAAAGCTTTTGCTTTAATATTTTGATTACATTATATATAATTCTGAGCTAACTGTGGATTTTGGAATGCTCACCTAGGGTCATTTTTAACTAACATGAACTATATGTAAAGTTTGTAAATAAATAAGGTTTAGGAAAACTCCCACGGGCCAGATCTAAGCACCCCGCAGACCGGATCCAACCCCCGGACCTTGAGTTTGATACTCCTGATTTAGCATGATCAACCTATAAAATCCTGCACAAATGCTCCAGGTCGAAGGTAAACTTGGGATATTCTCTTGAAGAATACGAACAGTAAGACTTTATCAGTAAAACACTTCTTCTCATTTAAGTATGACAGTCATCTTGCAATCTACTGAAGTGGGTGTGGCTCTTGTACAGTGCAACACATTCTAAATCGTCTCCCTCTTAAGATAGGAACAGAGAGTAATAGACCATTTGGCACATTCCCATTGAATGTTATGCCATCAAGAGGATTTTCTTTCTCTGGATCTATATAATAGGTTTCCACATTGCACAAAGCCAGTATTTGTTTAACTATGCTCACTGGGTGAACTGAGTGGTTGAGCTTCATATCCTGCTGAGCCATAACCCAACAGATCGCATTACC